GTGCAAAACATTGTTTAATGAAGACAGTTTGATTACACTTACACAACAGAATCACATCAATTAATTTCACCTCATAAAACTTGCTTTACACGCCGAACAGATGCACTGTATTATTAAACTGTAGTCTTTAACTTAGATAAATTCATTACGCTGTGTAGCTGCAGGGTATTTTGTGAGGGAGTCTATGGAAATAATACCTCACTTTTAATTAACACTGAATTGTGATAATCTAATATTTGTGATGAGATGCATGAACGGAAATAAATACATAAGGAACCCCATAAAAGGTGAAACTACAGAATGCATCATAATTGACAATTCTAATCTTATCTGCGGTGTGCTAAAAGATGCAGGAGCCTCTGTAAAAAAATCTAAACGCTGTAGATATCAGTTTATTTGTCTTTGTTTGGGCTTAGTTACACAAATAAATACAACAATGTGGGCTTTTGAGTAATTCATTGGAGGAGAGTACAAACCCGTCACCTTTCACCTGTCAGCGTGGGAGACCCAGCTGTTACTACCCTGCTGTCTTCTCCTCAAGCTCCAGCCAACCTCTTGCAATAAGAAAAACTTTGTTTCCATGGTATCAAGCTGAATTTCAATTAGTCAGCTTGGAGGTTTTGTCATGTAGGGACTTTACTAAAACCATTTTGATACCAACAATAAAGATACTATTTAGTTTTACCTACAACTGCAGTAGATTTGTTGGTAAGGACATTACTACCTTAAAGACATACAGCCAACACAGTAATAGCATAGAATAATATACTATTAGGTAGCAATCTCAAAAGTCCAGGAATGAAAAGCTTTTTAAAAAATTGAAAAAGAGCTTGGAAAATATTTTTCATCTAATCACTGCATATTTGTCTAAGAAAAAAAGTGTAACTGGGATCTACAGCCTGTCCACTGCCTGGCCTTTAGATCACTGTGGTACATATTTGAAAATGTGATTCATTTGTAATATCCAGATACAATATGAAGAGAGCAAGTACAAACTATTTTACATCTTGTTTTGCAATGCTTGTTGAAGCATCAATTGAAAAAGTACAGTAGATGACATTTGAAAAGTCTTCTGCATCTTCCCCTCTTTTTTCCATAAAAGCACAAATGGTGCACCTTAACACACTGACTATAGAATTTGGTTAAGCCTATAAGAAGCCATCCAAAGTCATGTACACCTCATTTAAGACCTGGATGAGGAGTGGATGATTTTATTACATCCTGGTTTGTCAAATCTTGCTCTTGGAAGCTGGCTTTCTTTTTCCTTGCCAATAATCTATCGTTGTTCCGTATATCGCTGTATATAAAAAGCACTTCAATGTATCGAAGGAGGTCGTTTGTCACTGATCCTCTGGTTATTTTTAAACATCCCCTGTGTCCAGGTCTAATCAGAACAGGATGTTCCTCTTCAAATTAACCAGGAAATATATTTTCATGCAATGAGACTGGCTCTGTGCATATACCCTGCCATGATGTCGCATACTCAACTTGATTACACAGGAGGGTTTGTGGGGCTGAATACTGTGCTGGGTTCCATTTTGCTATTTCTCCACCGAGGACTTTGATACAGAGGTGGTTAAAACTATTTGTTTCTCCTAAATGGAGTAATAAGCCCAAAAACATCCATCCATCTATTTGATATACTGCTTATACTATGGGGGAGGGGGGTTGGATTCCATCCCAACTATCATTGGGGAAGATGTTGGATACACCTTGGACAGGCTCCAACCCCAAAACAATCGTTTCTTTGAAATGACTTAATATTCTGTGCATGCTCAATTCGACATCCTTTGGAATCTGTTAGAGTACCGTTTCACCATGAGATTTATATCACCAGCAAACACAACGTCCACCAGTCAACAACAAGAGGGTTTTTTTCCATTACTAAAACCTGTGGATTAATTATCATTATAATGGGATGTATCGTCATTATATAATACAGAGAAAACATTTGCTGTGAATGTATGCAGAAAACGTCATAGAACAAGTCTGACACATGGCTTCAAGTACCCCTTCATTCAACAGTTCTTCTGTAGTCAGAGCCATCAACATATCCGTGGTGCTCAGTAATATGGTTATGTTTATGCATTAAGCAGACGCTTTTATCCAAAGCGACTACACACAGTGTTCCAGTTATCATCAAAAACAGGTACCTTGATGAAGATGAATGTGTGAGTGGCTCTGAACCGGGTCATGCCATGAAGCAGAGCAAATGAAAGTAAGAAGCACAATCAATGGACCTTAGACATGACATAGCTGTCATCCCCACAGATGTCACAGATACTTGCTGACTTGAAAAGCATATCGTGATAAACCCAATGTGTCATAAAAGGAAAATGATTCATACTGAGGTGTGTTTTGCAAAGCTACTGTAAAGTGCTATTCTAAAAATAAATACAACTATTAGCTTGTTTAGTACACCCCATCCTTTCACTTTATTTGGCTAGCTTTGTAAAAATACTAACTGGACATAGCGTCCAGTGTGTTTCTGCCTATCATTCTTTTGATGAAAATTATGTTTAACAACACATTGTAGGCCCATGCACTAAGGCTCAGGAACAAGAAAAACGGACTATTTTGCCACCATATTCCTGCTTTGGCCTCCCAGTCCAGCTGATAGTGCTTTTGCCTTCACAATGCTGCTCTTTGAATCGGGCGGTATTGCCTCAGGAGGAGCTTGGGAGAGATAAAGTTCTGTTCGTATGGCGTGTGAAAAGTTTCCAGTTGTCTTCCCAGGCAGAGTGATTTCTTAGGAGCATAGGTTCTATTTCTGCCTTATTTTTTCATTGAATTTCTTATTAAAGCCGCTATATGTGTATCATGCTTCTTTACATCTATCCTACTTTTTGCATAATGGAATGTAGTGTACTGCAAAATTCTCCTTGATTCATTTTCATGCATAAGATGTGCCCAGTAGCTCACTTTTTTGTGCTCACATGAGCCAGGAGACCTATATGTTTCATCATATTCAACAGCTGAAATGTGATAGGCACGGTGGTTCTGGAGACTCCATGTGACACCTCCTAAGCATTGTTTCATGAACTGTACAGCCACAAGGCGACAAATGGAATTGGAGGTCTTTGTGCATGACATCATATGACATCCTTCGGGGGAAAAAAAGATGGAATGGAATGGAATGAAATGCGATTCACGCATAATACCACTGCCAGTGTGTCCATGGCTCTGTCACTGAGTTAGAGACAGAAAGAGGAAGACACGTTTCCCATCTGTGTGACACTCAATATTCCCCAGCCACTGCTTGGAATCTGCTGTTGTTTCTCTATTCAAGGAATGGTTTTGCATGTTTGGAGTTTTACTTATGATCTATTCATCATTTATCTTAATGCACCATCGCCCACTTCGTCCTGTTTACTATATTCTACCGCACTCATCACAATTCTCTCTTCTACTTCTCCCTGTTTAGTCGTGACTTCTCTCACCTCTTTATCCTTCATGTTATTTTTCCTCTCCCCTTTGTGCTCCGTCCCCCTCCTCATTTTCTCTATTTTCCCCGACTGGGTTGACAGTGTGGAAAGCTGATGAATCAGACTGCATGTCAGAGTCAGGCATATGAGTGAGTGTGATGTGGTTAATATGGTGCCTGCTGACAGCGCTGTGGAAACCATCCACAGTGAAAAAACACTGAAACACGTCGACATTTTACCCACTTGCTCGCTCACCTTTTTCTACAAGTGTCTGCATGCACGTATGTATTTTTTTCTATTTGTATGTATTTATATGTGTGTGGATTATTTTCCTAACAGTCAAAGGTCAGGGGAATGCAATGCTATCCTCTCCGCCTACACGATACAGTAATTGGACTGGAGGAATGAAAGTAATGCTCATGAGCAACATTTTTTTTGGCCCATTCCAACGTAGCATAATTGCCAGGCTTGAAAAATGGGTAAATTCGGTTGTTGAGTCTGCAACTCAAGCGTGTTTTTTTGTCGATAATGAGGGGTTTGGAAGTGTCGTTAGGTTTCCTGGCGCTTTAGATTAAACAACAATGACCTCTCCGTGTCCACACGTTTTTTTTCTTTTTTAACAAATCCAATTCTAAAGCATAAGTGATCAAATCTAATTCCAGCAAAAGTATTTTAGTGGAGTAAAATTGGGCAGGGATTCATATTTCTTTCGAGTGATGAAAAAAATCCAGGTAAGGCAGTTCAACTGAAGAAATTTCCTTTACTTCCATTTAATAATGTTATTACTGATGCATATCGTGGCACACAGACAACTCGGTGAGTTGTTTTTCTCAGTATACAGATTTTGTATTCATGGATTTACAGCTCATATGTCTACATGTTGGTATGTCTGTGCACCCCCACATCCTAACATGCCACGGTGTCAGTTTTTGTGAGCTTGGCATGATAGTGTGGACTGTTCAAACTGTGATTTTTCTCTGTGCACATGTACAAATAAAAAAACATATGGTGAGTCAGTGTGTAGGAGCTGTGTGCCGCCATGTCTGTGGGGGTGAGGGAGAGCGGGTGAACTGGTGTGCAATGGAAAGCAGAGGATTCAGGTTATGCACCAATAGATGGCACTGTACCCTTTAGTGATTGGCTGCTGTGACCCAGACTGAGACAGGGTCTGGAAGAACATATGTGGATCCCGATCAAGCAGGACTTTGGATAACGGCCGGTTTTTGTACTTATTTCCACCAATCTTTTTTAGAACTTCTTCCTCTTCTATTGATCAGTAGTGTAAAAAATACAGAAAAACAGAAAAGTGGGGGACAGTGTAGAGCAGATGGAGGTTTACTGTTCTCTAACCTTCTCGCATTAAAGGCCATTTTGAGACTGAATTAAATGAATATAGTCACTGACTATATCATACTTCTGTTTCATAACGCCTCATATCCAATAACTGCTGTGTTTGGTGGGATTGGTAAAGGGAGTCCATTTAGAGCAGAGTAACGTAAATGTATGGAATAAGAATCAACAAAAAAAAACAAATGAAACCAGTTCAAAATGAAGATCTTCACAACAAGGATATGTATCCAGCAGGGGGGGGGGGGGGGGTAAGCATCTGGCTGTAGTTGTGCGAAAAGAATCCCACTTTGAAAGGCTACAGAGGTTGCATTTTGACAGTTTTGAGTGACAAACTGGTTTCTCAAATCCATATATATAAAGAGCTTCAAGATGTTGAAGTGTCTTTAAAACACTGCAGTCTACATTATGCATATATTGTTTTTAATTGCAATAAAAATAGGCTCACTTTCATTACAAGAAAAAAAAAAGAAAATAGGGTAGTTAAGAAACAATTATGATTAATTACACAGAAAAATATTCAAGCTGCCATCTGTCAGTTGAACTTGTGAAAGTGGTTAATTTTCTGCTGCTATTCCTATCAGGGTCAGACATAAGGAATTTAGCCCTACTGAATACTGAAATACTGAATCTTATCAACAATTGTACACATAAAACCAAAGTGTAGAGCATTCATTGTCTTTGAGGTGGTGGCCACAAGCTTTGGGCAAATGACAAAACAGAAATAAGAAAATAAATAGATAAATGGGTAAAACAAATGAATAAATCTTAAATAAAATAACATTTTGCTGGAGTCTATAGAGGTCATTACCCTATACATTCAGGAGTCCCAAAAAACATAAAACATATCATGCAAGTGTGGTTCAGGTAGCTGTTTGATGGAGCTGATCAACTTTAAAGGGGGGCCAGAGGGATGTTGCTCAGTTCACTGTTAAAAGCAAAAAAAATCCCATAGAGAAAGTCGTAGACTCACACTCACACACACACATGCACACACACTCTCCGATGCTTAATTCTGTTTTACTGCCCAACTGAAGGTTATTCTGCTGAGACACGCTGAAGGTGGAGGGTCATCAGAGCTCAGAACTCTGTTGGGGTTCAGTCAGTGGTCCGGTCGCTGTGTGAATTCACTGGGAGGGCAATTTTCTCATAATTCAGCCTGACATACAGCATACTACAGGCTATACAGGCTGACGAGACTGTGTCTTCAGGCTTCTGACGCACATGTAAAAGAAAAATAATCCATGCAAAACAGACTTTATCATGAGTAAATTGTCTGTAAAAGACCTAATCACCTATAATTTCACTGTCAACTAAACAAATATACATATGTTTAAGTTTTGTACATCAGATTTTCCTGCAGAGCTCATCAGATACTTGTCCATTGTGCCTCTTTAATTATATATGAACATTCTTAACCATAACACAATGCTTCTGTGATGGTATGCGTACAATGTATTGGTCAAACATGACTGTCATAAAAAGAAACCCACTGAAACTATTTTCATTCCTAAACATTGAATGCGAGTTTTTACAGAACTATACACTGAAGTTCTTTTTCTATTGCCTTTTTGCAGCTTGTTAATCAAAGCTTTGCCACTTTATTACACTATAATAATAATAATAATGTATTTTTCTTTTGCATATTTTCTTTAGTTTCCTCATGCAACATTGAATTACTGTCACCAGTTCAGTTGAACCGTAACATGCTGGTCTGTTCACAAATCACTTAGTTTTCTTATGAAATACAAATATTACAGAAAATCAGTGACTTGTAATTTCAAAGGAAACATTACAGAACAAGAAAGCCATGTTGTTTATTAAGGACACTCATATAAACTGAATCTTAGAGATTATACAGTCACTGAAAGTGTGCAGTTAAAAAAAGTCCCCATGTTAATAAGAAACACCTTTAATGAGAACGAGAATGATGGATGACATGAGATAAACACACCTGCTTATTTTTAGACTCCACATGGCTTTAACATGTTACCCTCTTTGCTTAATTGGGAGCTGTACATAAGCATATGCAAATCTGCACAAGTGGATTATAAATGAGTTTGTTTTGGCATTTTGTAAAAACTGATGATGATACATTAATCTATTTTTGCTGCTTTTTGACCGTAAAAACCGTAAACATTGGTTGTAATTATGAGGAATAATTGCTACAATAAATAGAAACAATAAAAAAAGAACACAAAGACCATTACATCAGAAGACCTTAATCTTCTCTGGAGAATCAGGTGTCATTTACAATATGGCAGAAAAAAAAGCCAATCTTTGTTTATTTTCTTGTTTTCTGTTAAGTTGATTGCCTTCTTTTTTTTTACCCTCATACAGGTTATGATCTGTTGCTGGCCGTAGCCTTGGAAAAGGTAAACATTCATAAATCAGAGGATGGCCAAATTGAACCCAGGTCTCTCGATGGGAAAGACACTTAACCACTGCTCTCATTGGGTGAACAGCGGCTTTGTCACTATTAGTGTTCGTTGGAAAAAAAAAGTGACCCGAATGAGTTTTAAGAATAGGGCGGACCATTTACACATTCAAAATTACAAGTCAAATTTAAAAGACAGATCTCTGAGTTTTGTGAAGCTTTAGGGAAACATTCAAATGCAATAAAAAAAAGTAAATATAAAAGTAAATAATAATATATATATATATATGAAACAAACAAACATGGATATGGATTTTTCTATACAACGTGGCTTTGTGAAACGAATGCCCTCGCCCCTGTGTGAAAGCCATTGAGAAAACGATGGTGTGGGAAACATTGGAGAGATTCTTTAATTATTTATTTCCAATAGAAAAAACAAATATTAAACTCTACCAAATTCAGTCCACTCTTCTTGTCTTTTCTCATCCATTAACGTAACCGCATTAGATTAGACTAATGTGGATGAAGCGAGTTTACAGCCGTATTATTTATCTCAAAGCACCAAGATGCTCAAACAGACTTGAAGCCAACTCGTTGGGCTGCTGTCAGATGATTGGAAAAGAGTGCGTGTCTGCGAGGGGCTTAAGTTTTATTTCTGTGTATAGGAAATCTAGGTCATATAATCCAGCCAAAGTGAAAATCGGAAAAAACAGGAAGTGTATGTGTGTGCATTTGTGCACATTTTAATGGCTATATATCTTCTCATTTTCATAGTGTTGTTCGGAGGGGAAAAAAAGGAAGAGTGGAAAGAAATTGGCATTAAGAGAGTTCCTGCAAATCAGTCAGTCACATTGGATCCAGTCAAGACATTGAGAACACTCTTTTTTTCGAGTGTCTTCTTATTATCAGCGAAGGGAATGTCTCAATTGAAACGCACATGCAAAATCAGGGAATGCATGCATGTTGCACAGACAAATGAAATAAAAGCATACAACAAAGTAGCTTGGTGTATTGGTTCTATTTCTGCCTCGGCAGCCTTGTTAGCATTAATGTTTTCCCATCCGCTCAGGCAAGGGCACAGAATACACATGTATTAGAAAAGTAATTACATGAAATACGTTTTTCCCCCGGAAACTGGGGAAGTTAAGAGAACTACCTGTTTGAGAAAATGTTCCAGAACTGGAGACCCACGTGGAAATCGTTGGTTGGCAACAGGAGGTGGTTGTGAAAACACTTCCTTTCCATAGGACTACTTATAAAGAAAAATACAATGCACTGAGGCGACATGAAAGAGTGCTTGGCAAGCTTCTGTCCTCTATTTCCATTGGTAAATATACAGTTTATGTATCATTGTGTGTCAGTTCATGTTTGTGTATACGTGTGACTAGCTTTTCCAGGAAGACAAACTCTGGACTTAGATGGTATCCCTGAAAGACAAAAAAAGGAAAAGAGAGATTTATATATAGCCATATATATACATATATATTTGTGTGTGTACAGAAAGAAATTGGAATACAGCATGTTTTGAAGAGTCATAATTTTCACATTTCACAATAATCAAGCATATTTGTATATGCATACATACTCCTACACATGCACACCCACTACATTTCAGATCCTTCCAGAGCTGCCTGCACACAGAAACAAGTGCACATTTGTGTGATGTAAGGGCTTCTTTTGGCTCACTCTTGCTCTAAAGACCTGTATACCATCTTGGCTGAATTTGAAATTGGGTTTAACTAAGTCGGCTGCAGCCAGTGTTGTGTCCACTTTGTAAAAAACTCATACGGGAACACCAGGCAGGTAGTTCACACCTCCACCACCTCAGCTTGATGTGTTAAAGCAGGAGGCATTTTTGACAGCACCAAGGCCCATTTTCATCCGGGGAGCTCGCGAGGCTTGTGGCAGAAACTGACAGCTTTTTTTGTATGCAATGGGATGCAGGAGAGGTGAGAAGATTTTTATTTTTCAGGGGAAAGCACATCCCTGTAAGGCATCAGATTTGTTAACACTTTACATGGTAAATGCAAATATATGTGTATCTGCTTGGCAACATCAAGCGAAGAACCATTCAAAATATAATTCAAAACAATTTAAATTCAAAACAAAACGATAGCATCTTGACTATTCAGCTGATTAGTCTGCATACGTTTAGCATTACGCTGAATTCTCGGATGTACTGCATTGCATCAAAAAGATATTGTTACTATATACATATTTCATTGGCAGAACGTAGACTCCTGGATCTCAATGCACAAATCAAAACAGCTGCGAGTATTTGTGATTGTATTCCAGAAACCATGATGTCTACGTGGAAAGCAACAGATTTTTTTATAAGTAGCTAATTGGAATTAAAACCAATTTAATGACGGGTAGAGAGATCAATTTATTGGGACAGTGCATGAAAAACAAATATTATTCACATATTCATAAAATATAAACAAATGAGTAAGACTACAATATGTTGAGGTTTCAGCTGACCTGCCTCCATCCAGGACTCACCACCCTCTAAATTCGTAGTAAAACGCCAGAAAAAAATGTTTAGCAGCTGAAACTTTGCCCTGAATTAGGTTAAAAATGAATGCCAACAAAAACTGTAGTGAATTTAGAATTTTTTTTTTAATCAAAACTTTGTGTTTTATCAAATGCAATGTAAAATATCAGTGGACGTTAATTAAAATAAACCCACAGCTTCTGTGATGCAGCTGCTGACAGGCTCTTATAAACCTTCCTTAAAGAGCTCCAACTTAGACAAGGCTGTCCATGTAAATTATATTTGCTCAAGTAATCCAACAGCTGGGATAATCTATTGACTTGGTAAAGAGGACTGATGGGCCCAGACACTGGTTTGGTCCTGCGAGGAGGCGGTTCCTCTCTGCCCCGGACTGGCCGGATGATTAATGCAGAAAAGATTAGGCGGAGACGTTATTCTGCTCAGACTGTTGAGCTGTCCCGTCTTATCAAAGGGGAGACCGTGCACTGTGTTGAAAGTGGAGAAGAGGAGGAAGAGAAAGAGCAC